TTTTAAAGCTGAAAATGATACTTTTACTTTACTTTAAAATTTAATACCTCATTACAAAATTAAATATGTTCAAACTCATCATGAAAGAAGTTGTTGATGCTCTCTAAAAAATGACGTGTTGAATTTAGTCATGTCAACTGGCTCCACTAAGCCTAGTTGGGTGAATTGAGCAAATAATATACATATATTACTCAATTTACTCAACCTGGTTTAGTGGAACCAGTTKAGTTCAGTAAATTCAACAGTTTATTTCTTAGAGAGTGTGTAAAAGTACTTTCACTTTCCCAATTTTTGTGAACAGTAAACAGACTTTTACTTGTAGTTTTCTCATCAGTGACATTTATTTTTACCAAAGTCATTTTCTGTTCAAGTAATTTTACTTTTACTTAGTTAGTTTTTCCAAGTACTTTACAGACCTCTGGTTTTTCCAATGTGGGCGCAACTCCTACATTGGTTACTACGGCTGCGTCCAAATTCAGGGGCTGCGTCCTTCGAAGGTWGAATTTGAAGGCTGATTATGTCACAATGATGCACTGAAGGCCGTCCAAATTCGAAGGCCCCTCCCACTGCGGCACACAAATACGTCCTCCTTTTCTTCTTGTTTGAGGGACGTTGGATCTGTTTCACCAGCCCCATTCCAAGATGCATTGCTTTCTGACTGGGAGAATTTATTTATTTATTTATTTTCTTGTAATGGYRGYCGATGCGAGAGACATGAGTCCAGTTTAACTGAAAGTCTAAAGCGGTTGTGTTAGACTTTTGTCATTTGCGTAGACGTGTTTATTAATATTCTCGTCAGCATCGTCACGGTTGCGGYGACAGGGCCTTAGCCCGGGGTACGGGTGAGAACGAAGCTGAAGGCTAGACCGCCCAACTTCACCAAATGCTACTTTCTTCTGGTCCACAAAGGACCTTGCCCATGTAGGCCGCATCTTTGGAAGGTTGCAGCCCCTGAATGGAAACACAGCCAGTGAAGTATTAGAAATAGCTTAACCTTAGTTTTTCCACTTTAACATATTAGCTGACAATATAGGTGAAAGTACATTTAAATCATTTCAAAAAATGTAATTTCAGAACTCTYAAATGCTCAAAGCACAAAGTGTAGAGACTTAATGATTGTAACTTTCATAGTTAATTCTTAGTTTGGAGAAAATGCACCGTTACTGTTTGTTTCAGCACCGTTTGTCAGGGTTTTATCCTCAGAGCTGGGTTTTTTCGGAAAAGCTTTTCTCTATTTAAAATTCTGGGAACTTTAGAAGAAATTCTGACATTTGAACCGTGTTTTGAAATGTTTCCCAGGCAGGTTTTTTTCAGACCAAGCCCCCCCTGTAGACAGGCTCCAGTCTGTGTGCATGTCAGGAGTTATTGCAGGATGTTTCACAAATAAGCCTAGGCCCAATCCTGGACTGACACTTGCTCCTTGTTTTCCCCMCTCTTGCAGCGGGACGAGGGTCCAGGCAGCAGCCAAGGGGGGCCGTAAACGGGAGGCCAGCCCCCCCGCTGTGCGAACGCGGGGAGGACAGAAATCAGAGGAGCCCCCCTCCAAGAGAGCCAAGCGCTAAGACCTCTGACGGCGKTGGAACGGTGCGCCCCCTGCAGTGTTGTTTTTACACTCCGCATTCTGAGAGCTCTGCAGGCCGGCGGCATGAGAAGCCGTTTGTGCTTCGCTCTCTGTCCGTACCGGGGGGGGGAAAAAAAAGAAAAGCTCAGGAGAATATTTTACACTTTGCTCYGAAGGCTGAGTGTAAATCTGTAGGAATCCTCTACATCCATGTGGTTTGGATCAGACTTGTGGTTTGTTCAGAGAACTGGAGCGTTTCAGGCCAATCAGAGGCCTAATGTTTCCGCCGAGCTGCGCTGTGWGATAAAGATGTTTGGACCAGAGTTTACCGTCATAGCTTTCTTTCTGAATTTTATTTTGTATTACTCATTCTGTGAATGAAATAAAAAAAAATTCTGTTTTTTTTTTCTTTAAAAAGACAACACTTTTAAATGCTCAACTTTCCACATCATATTTGTACCACCATTTGATGAAGGAAAAGTTACTAATTGTGTTCAATTTTTTAACTTTTTCATTTGTTTTATCACTGAAAACCACTGATTAAATCAACTCTTTAGTTTTTTAMTTATTGTCTTTTTGTTCAAGTCATAAATGCAAAGAAGTTATTGTTTTTATAATAAATTCTTAAAAAAACCATTCAGTGCGTATCTTATAAATCAATTTCCATAATTTATGCACAGTAATGATATATATTTTTTAATCTACTACTTATTGACTAAAATGAGCGCCTCATATATTTAAATTAAATTTACTTGAAATTTTACAGCTAATAATACGTTTGTTGTGAAATTTTCTCATAAAAAGCACAAACTCAGCTTTTATTCTTCCCACTTTCTTCAGAATTTCATTGTTTGCCCTCATTACATCTTGACCCTTATCTTCTGTGTTTCCTAAAAGGATTTTCTGTCTGTAACGTGTAAACAAACCAATCGTCTGAGAACAGGAGGGGACATTCCTGCCTGGTAATGAGGGAGAAAACTGACAAACTCCGAGTGAAATATCCCACTGTCGTTAACGCGTCGGGCAGCTTCAGTCGCTGCGCCTGAACCTTCGCGGTCCAGCAGGGAGGACACACAAAGTCTGGTTGAAAGTTTTAAACCGTTTCCCACGGGCTGCCAAGTTTTTATTCCTTAAAGGTGTACCTCTGGCAGGTATTTCCTGATTTTTGCAATCCAAGCCTTAGAATATTARCTCAACAAGTCGTATTAAAAGGTTTGGATCAGTTTTCACCCCCACCACCAGGTCTGGCAGACAAACAGTGCAGCTTTCACTCGCTCACTCACAGAAGAATTTATTTTTAATGGTTATTAACATTGTAGTCCAAAATCTTTTTTTTTCCAGATTTACCAGGCAGGTTTTCTGAATAGTTGAGGGACTTTGCAAAGACCTCACATCAGGAATAAAGATTAAAAGAATCCAGAATAAAGCAGCATCAATAACCTGCTTTTAGCTCTTTTTAACATTTTCTACCTCCAGCTTCACCTCAGACTTAATGTTTAAAACAGATGCTTCATTCTCATTATAATCTCTTAAATTACCAGGTGTGTTTTTACTCAGTTWCATTTACTTGGGTAACTTTTTAGGGAATGGGGCGGGGGTGTACTTTTAGTAGAAGTTTTCCTTCATTGTACTTTTTACTTGAGTAATATTAATATATGAAATAATGCCACTCTTAATTTAGTAAAATTTTGGAATACTCAACCCACAAAACTTCACTGATTGAAAATTAGATTAACCAGAAGTGCACGAGCGAGTTGCACACCTTTATGTTGAAGTGAGACTTCTTGTGTGTGTATATGTGTGTGTGTATATTAGGGTTGGGCAATGTTGTCAAAAAAAATTACAATTAATTATGGTATTTAGCCGATAATGATTATTATGACAAAGAATCCCCTGGACACCCTCATATCCTAGTCAGTGACCAATTTAAATCACTCTAGTGGGAAAGTATTGCTCTCCGTAAAAATCTGTTCCAAATTGTGTTAAAAGTAGACTTCGGGCTGTACATTAGTTTTTAAATTGTGTTGATAGACCAAGTAAAACCGGAGTTATGATAAATAAATTACAGAACTTTAAAAAAAAAAGTTTCTTATTTGCAGCACCGAGAATTAATCCTTCAGTGACAGACTGCTGCATCCTAAATGCACAAAGGAGCGTTACCGCAGATCCTTCCTCCCAGCAGCTGTTAGACTCTACAATCAGCACTGCTCCCAACAAACTCAATAAGTGCTTGTTTGCACAGTAACCATCGCTGTTTCTCAGTCAGTACCTAAATAATCTTGTGGCTATTGCACATCTAATGTTTCTGTACTGTGAAACTAACTGTAAATATCTGCCGTTTACAATATTTATTACACAYGCACATTATGCACACGACTGGAAATGACTTAATTTGACTCAACTGCACACCTCAATGTAATTTACCTGCACAGTATCACATTTTATTTTATTGCCATGTACTGTATTTTGTTTATTTTCATTTAAATTTTTTATTGTTATTTCTATTCTATTACCACTGCCACTATTGCTATTGATGCATTGCAATAT